GCATATTTTCCCAATATTTTCATTTCAGCCTTTCTGCATATTTTCTCAATATCTCTGGCACCTCCTAGCCCCAAAGCTCTGCCTAAAGGGGCGGTCATAAGGGTATAGGTTTAGAGTGGTGTCGGCCGTAGTCGTGGTCGTCTTCGTCGCCTTTGTCGGCGTCCTCTTGGTTGTGGTCCTCCACCTGGCACTGGTACTGGCCACTACGATTTCTAAGAGCAGCAGGTCTTGTGATGTGCGCGTCTGTGGATTACGATTGAGGTTGATAATAGGGGAGCCTTAATAATTAGAATAGGGTTTGGGGGTATATTAGAAATATAATAGGAACCACCAAAACACTTTTCTAATTATTAAAGCCCCTACACTACTAATGTCTGGCCCTAAAGCTTTTATGACGCCTTCCCCAAAGGCTTAGACCAGTTTACTTATTATCGGATGTTGGCACCTACTGAAAAATAAGACTAAGACTAGGATACAAGAAATCGAAGTCTGACTACCCGGATGAGATATTATACTTGTAACTCGAGTATGATATATCATGCTTGTATCTCTAGATAGGTACTTATGACTTACGTGCAAGGAAGTTACCTTCAAAACCCAAATCCCTAAACCCTAGACCCTAAACCCTAAACCCTAAACCCAAGCTGCTATTCATCGCCCTGTACACTGGCTCAAGCCCTTTCCGTAGCAGGGCTTCTCCTGTCAGACCAGGGGAAGCAGATTTGGGAGTTTCGGGCTTAGGGTCCCGTATGTAATGGTTTAGGGTTTAGGGTTTAGGGTTGAGCCTCAACCCTAAACCCTAAACCCTAAACCCTAAACCCTCAACCCGTGGAGCCCTAAACCCTACACCCCCTCAACCCTAAACCCTAAACCCCTATAAGGTCAGGGTTGAGGGCGTCGACTGGAAGACTGGTGTGAAAGAGAAGGTTTGGGCCGCTTCAACCTCACTCACTTGCTACCCTGAAGCTGAGCCTTTTTGATGCCCTCCCATCTTCAACAGGACACCCCCCCCAAAAAAAAGGGGCAAAAGGGTACTACTGGGGAACCTAGGTAGGGGTTGAGGGTTCGGGAGTTCCAAGCAGGCATGGATGTTCTCATTTTTGAAGCCAACAGCAGTGTTCGGAGCTCAAGACATGTAAACGAAGCTTACCTTGGCTGTCTTGTCGAAAGATTTTGCAGTGCCAGGAACCCTCCTAAAGGCACCGTTAACCCAAACCCTAAAACCTAAACCCTAAACCGTCTTTAATATCAGTATCTCTTTAGGACCACTAGGTTTATAGAGGCTGTAACAGAAGACACTTGAAGGGACTTCGAAATCCAAAGGCCGGTAGTCCTCAAGTGGACAGTTCTCTAAACTAGGGTCCCTTTTAGGTCCCAAATATAGTACGGCACCGTTATAAAAGAGACCCTACATGGGACCCTAGTTTAGAGAACTACCCGAGTGTTGATTGACCCATGATCCGGCGATGTTGACGCACCGCAGCTTGCAGCTTTCCGGCAAGTGAGTGAACTGCGGCTGTAAATCCTACATGGGTAGTTCTGTAAAATAGGGTCCCTTTTTATAATGGTGCCGTACTATTT